GGGATCGAAGTGATCCGGAAGGCGTTATCGAACAAAAGAGGCAAAACAGAAAAAAAGAAAAAAAACAACAACAACAAAAAAAAAAAACAGCTATAAAAACCATAAATATGACTCTTTCACTGACGAACATCGTTTAAAACCAGTCATGAAAACAAATGAACTAGATCATCGTTTTAGTGCAGAGAGATACAGCTAATTCAACGTAATAGTCAGTGCTTGAGTCTGCTGTGAGGGAATCTGAAACGGTACTTCAAGGATAGTTTTTGCTGAGCCAAGGAATTAAGAAAATATGACCGGGATTTTAGCCGGTAGAAACCGTCGGGATCTCGGGATTGAGGGAAAATTCCGATCGGGATGGCGGGATTGAAGAACATATTCATTGAAAATATTCATTTGTTTGCTTTCCCACAAACAAATGAAGATTTTACAAAACCGAACCCCACTGTTCTGTTGCTCTGCCAAAGGTTATTTTCAAATCCAAGACAAATTTTATTGCCAAGAGTCAATTATTATGCATGGGGTGTCACTCGCGATAAAGAACATAGAGCAGAAAGGAATGGCCTGGTTTTCCACTGGACTCTCTGTATTGGGGTGTAGTTCCAAAGGTCAAGGGCTGGATATCTCGTGGAGAACTTAGATTTGTATCTTTGTACCACACTCGTGACGAAATTAATCGAGTAACGGATATATCACGGGCATAAGTATAAATGATAAATTACCATGCCACTGAAAAACTTTAGCTAGCTTTGATCCAAAGAAAACTGAAATAAACATACAGGGCTCGAAAAATATTTGAATTACACCTTGCCCGTTGGGCAAGTAGCCCTTAAGTTTTGCTTGCCCGGGGCACTTCCCTGCTTGCCCAAGTTTTCAAACTAATTAATAATTCATGAACAGAGATTTACCTAGCCTGCGTTGCAGCCGGATGTATCACACAATCCCCGGTATATACCGGCGGTTTAGACTGTCTGCGACGCAGGCTAAGATTTACCTGAATTTTACCTAGATTTTAGCATCAAAGGGCTAGCTTCGTTTTCGCGGTAGAAATATGCGACTTCTCAGTTTTCACGTATAATTTCTACAGTTTTAATTAATAAATCGCTGTTGAGTTAAGTTTTGTACAGAGAAACCGAAACATTCTCGCGGGAAATTGCTTTGTAATTAAGAAATAAACACAGCGTTTTCGTTCCCAACGCGGCTATTTTTATCCTGGAAAGAAATTTGATCGGGGAAGATTTTGATCACTTGCTAGGCAACCACTTCTGAGCCGTGAGCGCGCGTCACGCAATCAACAAAACAACGCTATAAATTGTAATTTTCGTCAAGCTTCATCTAAACACTTGATTACCCTTGGGCCTAAAGCTTACCTTTTCTTCTCAAAATCGTTATCAAAAATTTAGTCGGCGAACGGCTTGCCCACTGGGTCCTTGCCCAGTCGGGCAAGGAAGGAGAGAACGTTACTTGCCCGAAGGGAAAATCTACTTGTCCCGGACGACCGGACGGAGTTTTTTTCGAGCCCTGAACATACCTTCGGGAAGGACTTCACGTCGAAATTCTCTGACAAGCTATAAAGGCAAGACAGAAGCAGTGAAAGCGGGTGGTTTGCGAGTGGTACATGGAGCCGCTGTTACTACGTTTTTGGCGGGAATTCTCGACCTCGTTCCCAAGGTTTGCAACGAGGTTTAGGATGATGTACACGACCCCACAAGCGAAGTGTCGCTTTAAATACTTATCGTGTATAAGGCCCTGTTTACAAGCAAGGAGGGTAACCCTTGTGCTAGGGTTACCCTAGCAGGCGGGTCAAAGATAGCCCGGGTTTACAAGCAAAATTTCACAGGTAGGGTTACCCCACCACCCGGGACAACTTAACTATGCTTAGTAACCGCACGCATTGTTATCAATGNCCCGAAAGTGTTGTGATGCACATTTGATCATATCCACATGTTAATTTGCGCAATATAAATATCAAATTATTATTATCACTATTAGAACACTTCGGTGTTGCCTTTTGAGAGAAATTTTCAGAGAGAGCTTGGTAGGCATTTCAGAAAAAGGACATTTTGTGTATGTTACATAGAATATAACTAACCTTTCTCCTTCCAAGATGGCGACTTCTATTGAGATTCCTCTAAGAGATACAGAAGAAGACGAGGTAGAATATACTTGATTCCTTCACAAAACTTTCAACGAGTAGCTTAAGTTGTGTTTCTGTTTCTAAGGTAATAGAGCTACAGTTTGACCAACTGCCTGAAGGCGATGAGGTGCTTAGTATTCTGCGACAGGAAAATGCACAACTCCACATTTGGATCACGCTGGCGGTAAGCTAAATTAAACCATTTATTTAGAAGTCTGTTGGAGCCGCCGCGGTCTTTCGGAATGGTTCAAGGCTTCTCCTTTGCTACCCTTGCCTAAATATTTGTTTCTCTGACTATGCTTCCAGCTTTAGAGGAATCGGTCCGGCCCTACGAACTAATTTTATTTACACGTATGCATACGATAGCGACTGTTGTGCATGATTAGTAGGTTTTTTGCATCGAATTAAATTGTTTGTTTGTCATTGGCAATAACAGACGATAAGAGGGTCGAAGGGAAAGGTGAAATCGATTTCAGATTCGCAACGTTTTTACCAAGTCGTGATCAATTCAGTTAACTTATCATCGCGCATTTGCTGTGCTTTCTGCAACCATTTTGCATTGTTGACTATGAGTAAATGGCATTAATGTAAATAACAACATACGTACCCACGTGTTGGCAAGCGTAACGGTTTTCAGACGAGAGTACTACCTAATGGATCATACAATGTATGATTCCAGTAAGTCGCACATAACTGGAAAAGGGGATTTTAAGTTCTACTCGTTGATCAATCTGTCCTTTACAAACGTTCACAAATAATTATAGATTGTAAGTTGTTTTTACTTCATGCCTTTTTGTACCATCAGCTTCAGTACTACAAGCAAGGAAAAACTGATGACTTTGTCAAACTTCTGGAAGCATCAAGAACAGGTATGTGTTTGATTAAAAAAGACCAAAAGTATCATCTTCACTTGGATCAATTACATTTACCTGTCACAGTCTGATTATCGCAGTATGCCATCATGGCTCTTGTCTCAGAAATGATGAACATTCCTCAGTGAAGAGATGAGTCTTTCAAGTTGTTCTCACAGGGGCACTCATGCTTTGTAACTGATGGTCATCATTACTTTCTACATGACTTGTATAAATATTGCATTTATCAACCAAGGCTGTGGTCTAGCAGCACCCGGTGGTCTCTGGTGCCTTACTTTTGCTCTTGGGCAGCTCAGGAATTTTAGTTTTTTCCTACAAAGCATATGCTGGGCACCTTGGATTACACAGTTTCAGAACACTGGGCTCCCTTCAATTTTCCTTAGAGCACAGCCTTGATGAACATATTTTTGTCCCTTATGCATGCTCTGCATGCACAATTTATATTAATTTTTTAATTACTTTTAACAAATTTATTACAAGTAGAGTACTCCTTTTTATTATCATTATCTCAGAAAGTATGTGTTAGATGATTGGTGGATTTGGTGGGCCATATTTCACTGTAAAGCCTGCTAATTTCAAAAGTTTGTTTCAATTGAAATATTTCCCCTCCATATGTTATAGATATAATATAAAATTATCTCACTGACCTCATTTTCTCAGTCCATACTGTAAGTTATGGAACCTGGTTTTTTTCTGTTTAGATGTATGGTTTGCATTCTTTGCACTTGCAGTGCTTTCAATTAGACCCAGCACCCGCTGGAGCTCCGGCAGGTATCCTGTTGTGAGTCACCAGGTATATTTCACCATGCTAAGTCGCAGTTATCATGCTAAGTCACAATCAAGTCACTCTCCGGCGGGTGTTGTACCAAGGTGGCTACCTATTTCAAATCTTACTGAAAGCACTGCACTTGGGTCAAATATTTGAGCGGTCCGTAATTTACATTATTACACTACTTGGGCAGTCAGAGGGCCAATAACTAAAATCAACCAATCAAAATGCTCTATTGCCGGTCCAATATTCTCTAAGTATTGGA